AGTTAACCCGCTGAGATGGCAGGCAGACGAATCAATCGTTCTGACGGTTCCGGCTGTCACGAAGCGATACAAGCTGCGCGTTCGCCAGGCGTCGTGCTACTGCTCGAAGTGCAGTGTTGGAGCTTACGACGACTGCGTCCCGGCCAAAAAGTATGAGGGGATGGTCGGTATGGTGAAGGATGTGTCGGGCAAGCACAAGGTAACCCGGACGTCTTGTGGTGTAGGGGATTGAGGGGTGTCCGTGTTGCACGTCATGTGTTGATTGACGCCTTTTTCTCTTCGATGTTCTTCTGTTTTTTTGGGTAATTTTGTTGCAGTATTTGTACTTTTTTTGTTGCTGTGTGCTGTTTGTTGCATGTTGCTGTATTCACGTGCAGCAGCAGGTCGTCTCCCTTGCAGTTTGGGATACCAAAAAAGGGTCTCCAGCAGGAGAAAACAATATTTGCAGGCGCTGGTGGCTAATATTTTCACGGTTTGTCGCCCAAATAGGCTGTCTTTTTCCATATATATATTGCACAACATACATTATTTTCAAGCACGTCGGTGAAATAAATGTCCCATATGTCACAGGGTATACTTGGGGTAAATCTCCGCGGTTGCACGCATCAAGTAGCCCAAAAAACGCGCTTGAAAATGGCCCTATAAACACGTTTTATCGCCGTTTTTCCAAAGGGGGGGGACGTTTTAGCCTCATCCCCGTTTTTTTTTTTTCATACAGTGTGCAGTATAAAACACTACATATGGCTGAAACCTCAACATCCCGACGTCGGGCACTCAATTTAACCCGCGGAACTAGGCCTACCCCCCACCAAAGCACCCTGACACACTTTTTGGAGCTTTAGTCTTCGGGGAACATCATCAACTGGACCGCTGCACACTCGAGCGCGGAAGGCGCCCTCAGCGTCTGCTCGGCCAGCAAACGATGTGCTACTCCTCTTGTACATAACGCTACCCCAGCAGTAGTAGCTATCGAAGCAATCGTCTTTGGTGCGGAGCAAAGAAGACCCTCATCCGCCGCTGGGGCTGGGCTGCTCATCCCGATTCCTGATTGCTCTAAGAAATGGAAAGGGCGGGATGAGATATAACCTGACGCGTAGAATAAAAGCCCCAAGATACCAATCTTATTAGATCTATTACATCGTATCGATCAAGTAGTACTTCGCCCTCTATGCATATTACAAATTTGTGCTACCTCTCTGGCCGTAGGCAGTCGCCGTGTGATACGCCTGCTTCGCTCTGGAATCAGCAGCACTCGCCCTTCTTCGTCGAGAACTCTCTACTCGTGTCTCCCTTTTCCTTACAATAATAGAACATCCGCGATGATCATTTCACCCACGATCAAACACATCTACCTGCTGTACACTAGACTAGAGTATAAAAATCGAAGGACAACGTACACCAGTACCAGGTACTTCAGCAGTGCAGTATGCACCAGCGCATTAGTGTAGGGTAGGCACCGCACGAAAGAGGCAGCAGAGGTGGCAGGCAGCCAGCAAAGGAAAAAACAAAAATAACAAGGAGCTCGAGGTATCGTCCAAGATCATCGTAGAGAGGGCATGGAGAACAAGAAAGAAAGAAAGAAGAAAAGCACAAAGAGAG